GTTCATCATATAAAACGATAATCGGGATCGCAAAAAAGTCAACTCATTTGAAACACTTGCCGGACGTCCCTCTCTCTTCTGAAATCCACCTCGGTGATCATGGTCCGGAATCTATTTCTTTCAAAAGTGTTGCGCCAGGTTTATGTTGTCGGCGTTTCTCTTTAAACCTAGTTGTTTTTTTCATGGACGAGGACAGTTTTTCCAAAAAAAAAAAAGGAATCTGAGGTTAAGTGGCTTTCGTCCACTGATGTCGCACCTTCGGATCGATTAGAAACGTGTGAATACTTACACTATGACTATACGTTTCACTGCAACTGCCCACAACACAACAACTAAAAACTCTCTCTCAAAAAAAAAAGAAAATAGACAAAAAAAGAAGAAAAACGCCGACTGAAAAATGTATATCGTTTTAAAGTATACTGCATGACCAGTGTTATTACAGCTCAGGGGTATGACTTCCTCTCACATTTTGGCATTTGGTGGCGCACTTTCGGCGAAAGTCGGAAATCCGGAAACAGTCGACCGTTTCAGGATAGGTGGGCGTGGCTACAACACGAGAAATATCCCAAATTTACTTGGATACGAGTAATCATTTTCAGCAAAAAAATCAATATCTGCCCATTTCAGTGGGACACAGATCTAAAATGGGAAACGTGAGGGTGGGCATTGCACAGGCACTTTAATGATATATGCTACGCGTGTGTATTTTACCGGACCCTGGTAATCCACTAAGCAGAAATAAACAATTCTACCATGGCACGCGACGCCCTGATTTCAGAATTTCAAAACGCGAAGCGTTTATTCCCCGAGTTTGGCCAGTAACTTGGACTTGGTGGTACAGATAAACATGTTTTGATTTTTCAGATTATCAACTTTATAGAGTACATATATTAGGTTTTACACTACTTTGTATGTAATGATGACGAGTAAAACAAATCAATGGAGTTGTCTTTTCTTGAGTCTACCTTCAAGCTGTAATTACCTGTGACTGTTGGATGTTGTGCTAAAGCTGTGACACTGCTTGCATTTGCAAAGAAACTCGTTGTTCATGTATGATACTGCCTTGGACATACACGGAACACCTTGCCTGTTATGAAAAAAACTGCACGAGCTCACTCATGTAAATTATTATTGTTTTCTTTTATGTTATTTACGAGTTTATGTGTATTTTAAATTATAGATATTTCTGTTGTGTGAATCATTCAGCTGTTACTAAATTTTCTTTTAAGTTGACAAGTATCGACTGAATGAACAAAGTCGCAAGAAAATGTGCTTGTTCTTGGTTGATGATGCTTCACTAAAAATCAAAGTTGTTAACACACCTTGCCAGGCGGTAGCAGGTTGCATCACCTCTACGTACTATGGGATTTTCCACTCGATTCTACAGCGTACTGCCGGAAATCCTACTTCTCCTACCGTGTGAAGGTATATAGTAAGTCTCTGCATTATACCTGTGAGAGATACGTCTTTTTAAACTGGTTTTTAGAAGAAAACTAACTCGCCGTACAGCTTAGCATGGCTAAGCTAGCTTGGTTACTTCATTAATAATTCACTAGCATTAACACCTTGATTGCGTAATCAACTATTATCGGAACATGCCTAAATGTGTTGACTGCGGTAAAATAAAGAATGTCACACTCACGGATGGGGCTAATCTGCACTGGCTCGGAAGGTTGTAAATGATTAGCTAGTTTGAATTTGCATAACAATACTGACAAGGAACGTGCATTCAACGCCACAAGTTTTTTTGTTTTTTTAGCCAATCAGAATTCATCTTCCGAGCCAGTGCAGATCAGCCGGACGGATGATGATATACCATTGTGTACAAAATGTGAAAGTATCCGACTGGAGAGTCTGGAGACAGTTCATGGAGAAAAACAACCCTCCTTAGGTAAAATTATGAAGGAATTGTCTTGTATTAGCAAGGTTATTGCTGAATTAAAATCAGGACAAGAGGGCGTAGTTAAATCTGTAACATTCATGAGTGACAAATTTGAAGAAATGGCGAGAGAAATTGCGCTACTCAAGAAGGCGATTGGTGAGCTAAACCAAGAGAATCACCGACTACGGAGTCAAGTTAATACTATAGAAAAGGATCTCAATGAACTGAATCAGTACCATCGCAGGATTAATTTGGAGATTACTGGCATCCCAGAAACACGTGATGACGAAAACACCGAAAACATAGTACTCAATGTTCTAAAGAAAATCGATCCCGAAACTACTGAGCACGATATCGATGTTACACATCGTATTGGTAAACGTGAAGATTCACAGCGGAACGATCGACCAAGACGTATCATCGTACGGTTCACCACCAGAAAGAAAAGAAATGTAATGACGGAAGACGTAAACTGAAAAATATTACCACGAGAAATATCGGATTTGATGTTAACAACCCAATATTCGTAAACGAAAACCTGCACCATAGCACACGACAACTACTCGGGAAAGCGAATGCAGCCAGAAAGAGAGCTAAATATAAGTATTTGTGGACAAACGACTGCCGTATATTTGTAAGAAAGGACAGTGGTTTGAGACCTATAAATATCATTAATGAGGCTGACCTCTCAAAAATACGGTAATTTCTTATATGCATTATCTAATAGTCAAACACGTAAAATGATTCTCATAACATGGATCACACATTATTAGATGACGATTTACACGTCTCACACAATGTTGTAAACGACTCGTTTTCCCCCTCTGAATTTAATGAAAAATTTAATTCAGATTCCAATAGTTTGTTCAGTGTTTCTCACATAAACATCCGTTCACTTAACAAAAATATTGACAATTTCAAACTGCTTTACGGAACTTGCCTTAATCTACAATTTAAAATAATTGGAATATCAGAAATTTGGCAGTTTAATAATCCCCAACTGTTTCATATCCCATCATATACATTTGAAAATAACATTAGAAATAATGGAAGGGGGTGTGGGTGCATATATACACAATTCTATTAACTATCGACTTCTAAACTATAATGTAAACCACGCAGAGAGTTTGTGGATAGAAATTAAGTCTGGTAAAAAGAAAATAGTTGTTGGTGTTATATACAGAAAGCCGGGTACAGATATTACAGAGTTTGAGAACAGTTTAGTTAGCGTAATGTGTAAAATTAAAATTGATAAATATTTCTGTGTATTGACAGGTGATCTCAACATTGATGTCTCAAAACATAACATCCATTCTGATAATGTCTTAGCAACCCTCGAAAGTTTTAATTTATACCAACTTATTAGTGTTCCAACTCGTGTTACTAGTACCAGCAGTACTATTATTGACCACATATATTCCAATATTAATACATGTTGCACACATGTTGGTACCATTACAACTGATGTAACTGACCACTTCCCAATT